GTCGTATTCTTTGTGTTTTTGTTACGTAATTCATCTAATTTGGTGTGAGAATAAGAAATATATTTTTACTTTGGACCTATTTTATTTGTAACGCTATACACACTTACGTATATTTCTCTAATATATATATATGATATATGACATATTTAGGACTTAAATAATGACATTTTAGGAAAGTATGAGATGTAGAAAGTTTTGTGTCAAATCAATCAAAAAAATTACAACCTTAGTTACTCACATGATAGTCAATTGCATGTTCTTCATATCCTCCAGAAGCATATCCTGGTGCTAGTCCTCCATGATAACCACCTAATCCTAATCCCAATCCCAATCCTAATCCATGTCCTAGGCCTCCACTCACGTAGGAAACCCCACCAGGATATGCTACACAGGCAGTAAGTGCCAGACAAGACAATAATAACTGGAAGAATAAATTCAATTGTAAATTAAAATAATTACAATACTACATTGGTTGAGGTTTTGCACAAGAAATATATGCAGTTACACTGAAGAATCTTAAGTACGTAATTGCGAACTTTATAGGTGTGAATTTTGTCAATTAAACACAAAATTAGCTAAAACAAGTCCTATTTGTTTCTAAGTTTAATGGTAATAACAAAATTTACAGCTCGTAAAATGAATTTAATTGGCAACCGAAAATTGCAAATTTCAACTGCCATGAAGTTTCGTTAAATATTTTTGTATTTTTGTTGTGCCTTACGAAAAATCCTTTTCATTTTAAGATTTTAATTTTAGTAGTTTCATAAAACAGTGGGAACATGTTTTTGAGGTAGTAATATTTCTTGAGATAATGTTTGAAGGAAATTTAAGAAAAAGTTTTGCAAACTGTACCGTGTGGTCTGAACATAACGTGGTAAATCTTTCAAGAAAACAAAATATTGTGCGTACAAATTTACATTTGTAGTTTGAATGTAGTTCTCAGGTTAGGGTTCCGTACGTCCGAATAAAAAATGGAACCCATTATAGCATCACTCGTGTGTCTAAATGTCCGTTTTTTATGAACTGATGCACTTTTAATGATGAATTGATCTCTTATATTCATAAAGTTTGTAGACGATCTCACGAATTGAATGCAGAAAAATGCATCTCGATTGGACTAAACAAAAATTTAAAGGCTTGGCCTATTTTTGTGATTTGTTTCTTCGATTATAGTATGTCCCATATTTGGTTATTGAAATTAAGTTAGCAGTAAATATTAGTAGATGGTGACTCGATATCGCATATGCATCTGTTAGTGTAGCCTTATTAACATTTTTGATCAAACTTTTCTTTTACGGAAATGTCTGATTAAAAAATATAAAAACTAAGTACTTAGGTATACATTTGACANAGATTGCTGATTATCTAAATGATTGTGGCATCAGGAAGCATTTTCCACTTCAGTAAGAACGCAAAGATGAATATATGCGTTTATATCTAGTAATTTTTACTGCAGAAACTTGCATTGATTCTTCTATATACAGTAATCAAGCTAAAACTAAAAATAAGCAGTATTGGATCTAATTGAAGTCATTTGTCATTCAGATTGCTGATTATCTAAATGATTGTGGCATCAGGAAGCATTTTCCACTTCAGTAAGAACGCAAAGATGAATATATGCGTTTATATCTAGTAATTTTTACTGCAGAAACTTGCATTGATTCTTCTATATACAGTAATCAAGCTAAAACTAAAAATAAGCAGTATTGGATCTAATTGAAGTCATTTGTCATTCAGATTGCTGATTATCTAAATGATTGTGGCATCAGGAAGCATTTTCCACTTCAGTAAGAACGCAAAGATGAATATATGCGTTTATATCTAGTAATTTTTACTGCAGAAACTTGCATTGATTCTTCTATATACAGTAATCAAGCTAAAACTAAAAATAAGCAGTATTGGATCTAATTGAAGTCATTTGTCATTCAGATTGCTGATTATCTAAATGATTGTGGCATCAGGAAGCATTTTCCACTTCAGTAAGAACGCAAAGATGAATATATGCGTTTATATCTAGTAATTTTTACTGCAGAAACTTGCATTGATTCTTCTATATACAGTAATCAAGCTAAAACTAAAAATAAGCAGTATTGGATCTAATTGAAGTCATTTGTCATTCAGATTGCTGATTATCTAAATGATTGTGGCATCAGGAAGCATTTTCCACTTCAGTAAGAACGCAAAGATGAATATATGCGTTTATATCTAGTAATTTTTACTGCAGAAACTTGCATTGATTCTTCTATATACAGTAATCAAGCTAAAACTAAAAATAAGCAGTATTGGATCTAATTGAAGTCATTTGTCATTCAGATTGCTGATTATCTAAATGATTGTGGCATCAGGAAGCATTTTCCACTTCAGTAAGAACGCAAAGATGAATATATGCGTTTATATCTAGTAATTTTTACTGCAGAAACTTGCATTGATTCTTCTATATACAGTAATCAAGCTAAAACTAAAAATAAGCAGTATTGGATCTAATTGAAGTCATTTGTCATTCAGATTACTGATTATCTAAATGATTGTGGCATCAGGAAGCATTTTCCACTTCAGTAAGAACGCAAAGATGAATATATGCTTTTATCTAGTAAATTTTACTGCAGAAACTTGCATTGACTCTTCTATATACTTTGGTCGTTTAGAGATATACTTAGTTTGACACGACACAATAATTAGTGATGCATTTACGAAAGTCCAAGTTATTCTTTCAGCTTTTCCTGCTTGATCACTAATTTGTATATTTAAATACTTTAACTGTTCAAAATTTAAGCATTCATTGGTTCTTTTATATAGGTATATTAATATTATACATAAAAAAAAATTATGAGTGCTGTCAGCACAGGGCAAACTAGTATTACGTAGTTAGTATCAGCAATATCTTATGCTGAAGTGTACAATGTGTTGCATACCTATTTACAAACAATTCCTTTAAATTTAATTTTTCAAACAAGTTTTAACACAAAGAAAGTGATTAAACAAATTATTCACAAAAGTGAATTTCGACCGCTCGACGTAATGGTGCTAACAGTTTCGAGCTCATAGTGACTGATAGGGGTGAAGAACTTGTTAATTTAAAAGTAAAAATAGACTCTTTATTAGTTTACAAAGCTTTGGTCAATAAATAGTAAGAATAAAGATCACAAAAATGCATTATAGCTTTATGTTATATTAGAAACTCCTTAGTAATGATGCCCGTCATCTCCATGAACTTCATGATGACTAATATGCTGAGGATGAACTGCGTGCCCTTCCCTGATAACATGGGCATTGAATCCGTTGTGCTTATCAGCAGTATATTTGACGGTACGAATGGTACCATCTGGTTCGTGTAATGAATACTCCCCTTTAACAGCGTCACCTTCACGTGTTTCGTGTTGGTGCTTGATATCTCCGGTTTTGTGATCAGCAACTCCATAATTGAAGGAATAGTGAGCTGGTGCCTAAAAGAACAGTAGTAATAGGCGAATAGGATTGGTCACCATCTAGGAGACATAAGTAGCCATAATAGTGAACTATTTGGAGAATTTTTATAAAAGCTCTGCAAAATTGGATTTTAGTACAAGTAATTGCGATATTTTTAGAAGCTCAAAAAAATCTGTTCTTAGGAGCGGTTTATAAAATAAATCATTCAAAACTTCGCCTTTTTGGACTCCCTTTCCTCCCTCGCGTTTCCTGCTACCCTCTAACATTAGATACATCCTAAAAGCTGAATGTAAAAAACAATAAGTAATTTATTCCTCGTTGATAAATTACGAACGTCGCGTTTTCTTGGGCCTTCTCCCTTTTGTCACATGTCGTCATGCTAGTCCATAGATTAGTTACCCCCCATCTTCTCCCCTCTTTTTATGAATGTAATTCATGAACGACCCCCTGGGTAAAATATTAAAGTATATGTATACATACATTAGTTTTTAGGGTTCCACGCGTCCGAATGAAAAACGGAACCCTTTTAGCATTACTCGTGTGTCTGTCTGGCCGTCTATTACAGTACAGTCAATGTACTCCGGATATAACGTAAATAAATTAATTTTGAACATGGGGGTCATTTCTGAAGGGTCAATAGGAAATTAAAAACAGTTTTGCAAACTGCACCTTGTGACATATCAACTGAAAGGGCTTCTTATGTAAAGATATCAAATATATATCTTTTATTATTTTAAAATAAATAGTTTTAAAGTCATTTAAAAAAATAGATGAATATTGACTATTCACCCCCCCTTATCATGGAAAATATTGAATTTAAAATTTTGAAAAAAATACAGAAAATAGTCCTTTACTTATAGATTGCAGGAAAATTAATAAGATGCCTATGGCTGAACATAACGAGGTAAACCTTTGAGTTTGAATGAATGGGAGAACATGTTTTTTTTTCAACTACAATGTTAAGTTGGTTCTCCACTATAGATCACTCGTGTGCCTATCTCTCCGTTTTTTTTTCCGAAATATTAATTTAAAATGATTGCCTAGTTCATGTAACTCAACTTCAACTAATGGAAAATTTATGAATTTGGGTTAGATATTTTTAAGAAGAGCCTTACAAAATAGTCTACAGCATGTTCTTCGTGATCACCTCCTGCAGTTTGAAGTGTCAGCCCTAAGTCGTGTCCACTAGAACCGTGTAGTCCATCAAAACCTTCGTGTCCTCCAACGGAGTAACCAATATCTCCTGGGTACGCCAAAGAGCTGCTAGCCATTATTGCACAAACAATGAATATCTTAAAAACAGGGAAATAAAATCATTTATTCAGGTACACACATTGTGTAATTTTCGTAATAAATTTTGTGTGTGCTTTATAACTACGTAATAAAAATATTTTCTTTTAATTTGAAATTTCTATCCGGAAACGAGGATTTTTGTGAGCAAGAATATTAAATAAAGAATTTTGCACACCGTTTGCAATGTGATAAGCAACAACTGGAAATATGTAGGTACTTAAAGAGCAATAAACTACTTTTACGCCAGAAAAACATACTTGTTACATAAAAAAATAAAAAAGAAAACGACTAATAAACCGTCTTACTTGGGTGAGCATAGTGACACGAGTTAAATATGACTTGGGCGCAGTATGTGCTTATTTTGAACTGATCAATTGTAGCTTTGCATTCATTTTTATATCATTTAAACCGGAAACATTCACTCAACGTTAAGTCGTAATTAAAAACTTGGGATTTGTAAATGCATTACGACAAAAGTTACACAGATATATCGAATTTGTTACACACGTTGTGTAATTTTTATAGACAAAGAACTTACCGAGACGTCTGGTATATGCAAGATGACCTGAATTACTTTTCATACTGTAATAGATCTAATTGAAGTCATTTGTCATTCAGATTGCTGATTATCTAAATGATTGTGGCATCAGGAAGCATTTTCCACTTCAGTAAGAACGCAAAGATGAATATATGCGTTTATATCTAGTAATTTTTACTGCAGAAACTTGCATTGATTCTTCTATATACAGTAATCAAGCTAAAACTAAAAATAAGCAGTATTGGATCTAATTGAAGTCATTTGTCATTCAGATTACTGATTATCTAAATGATTGTGGCATCAGGAAGCATTTTCCACTTCAGTAAGAACGCAAAGATGAATATATGCTTTTATCTAGTAAATTTTACTGCAGAAACTTGCATTGACTCTTCTATATACTTTGGTCGTTTAGAGATATACTTAGTTTGACACGACACAATAACAAATAAATGAAATGCGTGTGGTGTACAATCTTTATTCACTTATGTACAGTAATATTAAGGAATAAGTTATATACAAAAGGGTGTAGCGTAATAGAGAAGAAAATAGCGAAAAAGTTGATGGTTAAAGTTGAAGAATGACGGTGAGATAACTGATAGGGCGTTCTGATTTGTTCTGGACTCTCTTAATTTTGGTTTTAAGGGTTGTAAAAAATTGAGTAGGGGAACTTTCACGGAGGATTCTAGTTTGGTGTTATCCGATGGAATATCAGGAGAGTGTATGAAGGAGATGACTGTGACCAAGGTAAAAGGCGTAAAAATGTGTAAGTGGGCAGGATGTAGGAAGGGGTCACTTTCTGTACCAATTTTTAATACTTTGTTTCATGTAACAAGTCTTATCGTCTAGGTTCCTAATAATTCTTTATAAAGGCTTTTATGTTGTTAAAAATCTGTGAAAAGTAGCTGTCCTGATTCTAAATGTAAAAACGGCATTTTTTCATGACCAATATGGTAAAAGCTGAAAGCTGAAATATTTTTTTTAAATTTTTTTAACTTAACTATAAAAGACAGCGTGAGAGCGAGTGAGCATTATCAGTTATTTTGCGGAATCTTTGAACATGCATTTTGCTTTTGAATATACACAAGTAGGGTTGTTATATATGTTCAAATCAGAATCTACTAAATTTTGCAGAACAATTAGAAAAATAAATATGACTAACATAATCACCAACCAGACCCCCCACCCCATATTTTAAAAAATAAACAAAAGAAAATAGGAAGTTTAACTTCTTTTTCATTTTGAAAACTCATTTTATAATGGATTAAGGAATCTTTGTGCAAATATCAAGCTCCTTGACGTAATGGTTCGGGCTGTGTCATGATCGATATGTTAAACATTATTGGCAGTGTATTTGATAGGATGAATGGTTCCATTTAGTTCCTATAAACAATCTTTTCCTCTAACAACATCATCTCTATGTGTTTCGTGAAAATGCTTACTATCTGTAGTTTTGTGATCAGCAACTCCATAATTGAACGAGTAATGAGGTGGTACCTAAAAGAATTGAAATATACATAATTACATAATTATTAATGAATACTATCTGTACAAGATTTGCCACTTCAATGGAGTAGGTACCTATATGGTCTTGTTAAACTATCTCGTAATGTAACAACTTATTTACTGAAACTTAACGGATTAAAAGCATTTACCATTTAGATTCCTGATTATCTAAAGAATTGTGGAAAAGAATATTTGCCATTTATGGGGGACCGCAAACTCGTATATGACCTTTAGTTATATGGTAGTAGCAGTACCTTAGGGGTCATTTATTTTGATTGAATGCAAGAGGCATATTCTTGCAAATATTTTGCTGTTTATTATGAGGTAAATGTGTATTGTCAAAAAGTTATTGGTTAACGGAATTATTTGATAGTGTGTAGGTTTTCACGACCGGTGTTTAGCATTTGCAAAGTTATTCGGGATTGATTTCCATTTTACGTAAAATTTACGTTTCATCTTCAGCTTAGGAGGATTTCTTTTGTGGCGAGGTCTAAGTCGTCTTGATAATGATTAATACACTGAAGATGTTTTCCCTACCTGAAGACGAAACGTTTTTGTCCAAAATAGATAACGACACCCCAGCCATGAGTGTGTACGAAATTCATTAATGTATTTTCAACGTTAAAACAAATACCGAAGTTTTCACACTTTTCCAGCAAAAGTAATAGGAATCAGTGTAGAATAATTACTTTGGTAATAACGAATAAAAATTTTGGTTGTTGTTTCTTAATGCCCTTTATTTCTATACAATAATTATATATTTGCATACATTTACAACAATATAAAAAACAATATTTATATAATATAAACAAAAGAATAGAATCAATAAGATCAATAAAAATTTTCTATATTCGTTAATACCTACTCTTTATTTAGTTTAGTAACCGTGGTGACCATGATGCGCTATGACATGTGGATGAACTGCATGACCTTGTCTAAGTACCACAGCGTTGAAACCGTTGTGCTTATCAGCGGTGTATTTTACCGTACGTATGGTACCATCGGGTTCGTGTAAAGAGTATTCTCCTTTGACAACATCTCCATCTCGGACTTCATGTTGTTGTTTGTTATCACCAGTTTTGTGGTCAGACACGCCGTAATCAAAAGCGTAGTGTGCTGGGGCCTATAAGATTTTTTTTTCATATAAATAGATTCATAGATTTCGAAAGTCATTAATAACCTCCCCGCATTCCATCATCATCATCATTACAACGTCGTCAGTCCCAAAACTGGTTGGACATGCACCTCCACTCTTTCCTATCTTAAGCTAATCTTCGCATTTCCCCAAAAGTAAAACGACCCACATCCCTAACTATTTTCAAACAGTAATCTATTCTAGATTTACCTCTACTCCTCTTAACTCCTGTTTCTGCCTCTAATACGTCTCTAATTAGACCTTCGTGCTTGAGAAGGTGCCCTACCAACCTATCTCGCCTATTTCTTATTGACTTCCATAGAGTCCTGTTCTTTCTAATACCTCTTCATTTCTAACCTTCTCTACCCACGGTATCCTCATCATTCGCCTGGAACACGACATTTCGAACGCTTCTAACATTTTCTTTTCCTCCGCGCCTACCGTCCATGTTTTGCACCCGTACATCGTCGCGCTCCAAGCACATAGTTTCAATAATCTTTTTCGAATTTCTAAATTAACCGTTCGCGAGCATAGAAATGACTTTCCCTGCTTTTTATTACCTTACCTACCAGTATTTTTGTTTTGTTTTTATTTATTTTTATACAATAGTATTTTGCCAATACCACTTCCATTTGTTTTCTTTATACAGAATAAGATCGCGTTAAGAGCGATGCGCGCACTAATTTTCACAGTAGTACATGCGGCGTTGGAGGCGTTGTGTTCATCGATAAGAGACGTCGTAATCTTTCTGTTTTTGTTACGTAATTCATATAATTTTGTGTAAGAATAAGAAGTATATTTTTACTTTAGTCCTATGTCATATGTAACGCTATACGCACTTACACGTATTTCTCTAATATATGTATANTTTTTGTTACGTAATTCATCTAATTTGGTGTGAGAATAAGAAATATATTTTTACTTTGGACCTATTTTATTTGTAACGCTATACACACTTACGTATATTTCTCTAATATATATATATGATATATGACATATTTAGGACTTAAATAATGACATTTTAGGAAAGTATGAGATGTAGAAAGTTTTGTGTCAAATCAATCAAAAAAATTACAACCTTAGTTACTCACATGATAGTCAATTGCATGTTCTTCATATCCTCCAGAAGCATATCCTGGTGCTAGTCCTCCATGATAACCACCTAATCCTAATCCCAATCCCAATCCTAATCCATGTCCTAGGCCTCCACTCACGTAGGAAACCCCACCAGGATATGCTACACAGGCAGTAAGTGCCAGACAAGACAATAATAACTGGAAGAATAAATTCAATTGTAAATTAAAATAATTACAATACTACATTGGTTGAGGTTTTGCACAAGAAATATATGCAGTTACACTGAAGAATCTTAAGTACGTAATTGCGAACTTTATAGGTGTGAATTTTGTCAATTAAACACAAAATTAGCTAAAACAAGTCCTATTTGTTTCTAAGTTTAATGGTAATAACAAAATTTACAGCTCGTAAAATGAATTTAATTGGCAACCGAAAATTGCAAATTTCAACTGCCATGAAGTTTCGTTAAATATTTTTGTTGTGCCTTACGAAAAATCCTTTTCATTTTAAGATTTTAATTTTAGTAGTTTCATAAAACAGTGGGAACATGTTTTTGAGGTAGTAATATTTCTTGAGATAATTTTTGAACTTTCATAATAAGTAGTTTTCTTTTATAATATGTTACATGCTTCAATTAAATTAACCAGAGAGTTTGGATGCTCTTTAAAATGTTCAAGATAATAGTGTAAAAGTGATGTTCTTGACTTCTAACTATCTCAAAATTTCTTTAATGGTATTTTGAGTTTTTCCTGATAGAAAAAGTAAAAAATAAGAAGGATCTTAAAGACACTTTTAAGGTAGTGCTCCTCTTGAAGATAAATTAAGGCTGAGAAGGTTCCTCTAATTAAACTTATTGCACCCCTCTTTTATGTCGGGGGTTAGAAACGCTTCCTCCTATCATAACTTTATTATCCTAAGCAATCGAAGAGAAGCATTGTTCGGTAAGGTTAGGTTAGGATCCTTGCTCTTACTGTTCTTTACAGCAATGAGAGCCTTTTTCAAATTTGTAAAATTATGCGAAGAAATGGTTGAAAATGTTGGACTGTACAACACACTAAAATTTTAAGGAAATCGTAGATGTGTCCGCTATAGTAGGTAAACAACTACCAAAACTTAAATAATTTCAAGAACATTTAAAAACATCCCTTGGAAATAAAGAATTGGTGTTTGGTAATTATCAAATTATACATAATCATCCAGACTATGTAAACTTAAATAAAAGCTGGGAACTTTTTCTGTTCAATAACAATTTCATTTTTAGAAGTATATTAATATGTTCTTGTGATATTAACTTTTAAATTGGAAGGCCTGTTGGACAAATAAAAGAATTTTGTATTAATTTATTGTAATCGTAGATTTAATCAGTCAGGAGTGATGATGATTTGAATTATACGTACTTAAAACTACTTAAAGAGCTTTGATAAACCTAGGAGTGAAACGTTGTTCTAATTTGCGAATAAATCTAAGAATACTGACCAATTGAGAAAAGCAATTTCTGATATTAGGGTTAAAATTCTTGCTGTGTACTTTTTAAGGTTTATCATTATTGAGATATGGGAACCCGAAAAATACAAATCAATATTAGATAATATAATTGTTAAATAATAAGTCATCTTACTTGAGAAAACATGTTAATCACAGTTCGGCTGCTGTATCACAAAGAAACTGACAAGTATCGACTCCGTCAACCCTTTTTATATTGTTCACAATAACCAACAGCTGTATATGTATCATAGATAACGTTCACCAATCAATAGGTTACATATGTAGCTAATCGAAATTCATTTAACCGAAAAACTGGAGGTATATGAAAGTATGTAAATATACCATATATATATATCCATATACAATAGATATGATATGCATATTATATTAATATACCTACAAATGTAAATTGTGCAATGAAAAAATCTGGAACAATTTAGACAGGTACCTATGCCAAGCATTTCTATCTTTTTTTTTTACTAATACGCTACTGTTTACTATTCATAGGTAACTGTCTTAGATCATACGATAACAATGTACAGGTTAAACAAAGTCATTGGAAGGTACCGTTTTTGCATGATTGCAACAGTTTCGTTTTAGTTGTTGCAACAAGTTTGTTTTTATTGAACTTTTAAATTGTAACTTCCTTATCAATGTTGATAATTATACAAAGAAATTTAATCAAAATTGCTAAGATTTGAAGGACTATTGCACTTTGTAGTACTTATGTGTATAGTTGATATTTTTAGAAGACAGGTGGGTTTACTTTCATAACAGAAAGTTCATCAGTAAAAAGTGTCTGAAGGACACGTATAATTTGAATGACTGACAAATTCATTAAATGCATTTAACGAAAAAGAACTATTTCAGCGTTTACTACCGCTTTCTTCAATCGTGGTCATTGTCACATTTCATATACTCCCAAGACAAAAATTTTCAGTCTCTCAGAGTATTTCAGCGTCTCTGAGAGCGTCTCTCACAATCTTTCACAGTCTCTCAGTTATTGCCTAGGTGTTTTTATGGATCGCTCACAGTCTCTGTATGAGAGACTCGAACAATAAAATTGTTAAATCAGAGATTCGAGTCTTCACAGAGAGACTGAATGAATAAAACTGAAAAATTGAGAGACTCGAGTCTCTCGTAGAAAGACTGGGATCTCTAAAATATGTTGAACTTAGAAAATTTTAACCATGTCTATCGAGACACCACTTATTGAGAGATTCGACTTTCTCGTTCAGAGACTGGATACGAAATGAGGATCTCTCTATGAGCGACTTGAGTCTCTCGTTCAGAGACGCTAAACGGTTTTTTTAACAGTCTCTCGACAGTCTCTCTCAGCCACACCAGAGAGACTCGATGAGAGACGGAGACTCAGGTCTCGCTTTCAGAGACTGAGAGACTCAACATTTTTATCTTGGGTTTTTATTAGGATTTGTTCTTAAAAATATGCCATGGTCCAAATTCGACCAATTGACTCATTTGATTTTACTTGTAAGTAAAAATAATTGTATTAATAGGATCACTGTCGGACAAGATCTCTTCTCTCAGAACTATTTGATTAAAATTAATATGAAATAGGTATTAATGTTTACAGCTTCATAGTCCTCACTGCAATAAATAATACGAGTATTCCCACCAATTAAGATAATTGCTCCGTTCAGCCGTTAATGTTTCATTGGCTGCATTTCGATCTTCTTCATTCTTTAATGCCGTATAATGCCTAGGAATTGAGGAAGTGTCTCACTTTGCTCACGATCTGTAATATAACGTCGGTCGCAATATGAATTTCGTCGCTGTTTTAGTGGACAGTGCGTTTTCACGGATGTTGGAAAATATTGCACTGAAAAATCTGAAACAGCCAATGCCTTATAGTTACATTTACAAAATGTACTATCTTTGGGAAGCAAAGGCATTATAACAAAATTCAAACCGGGTATTTCTCATAAGAGTGGTTAGATTTGTGAATGCAACGTTAACAGTGCGTTTCTTTATTAATTATCTACATATACTTTTGAATTTAAACACCCTACGTAAGAGAAGTAGAGGTAGACCTACTTAGATTAGATTACTGTTCACAAATAGTTAAGGATGTAGGATGTTCTAGTTTAGAATAGGAAACAGTGGATGTGCATGTCTAACCAGTGTTACAATTGACAATCTTATGAACACGATAATGATGATTGTGAACTAGCCAAATCCGCCACTGATATAAGGTACTTCTAGTTGATCTAGATTGTTTCTTGATAAACTAAAGTTGTAGTTTTCTTTTATTTACAGCATATAACAAACGTTGTTCTAATACGAAAGCTGTGCAATATATTTTTCACCCTTTTAATTGTCAGAGCTGATTTTTTAGGACCCGATCTAACGATTGTTGACCCTCAGCGTTCTGTCCTTCTAGCATTTACAGAATTTTNTGTAGGAAGGGGTCACTTTCTGTACCAATTTTTAATACTTTGTTTCATGTAACAAGTCTTATCGTCTAGGTTCCTAATAATTCTTTATAAAGGCTTTTATGTTGTTAAAAATCTGTGAAAAGTAGCTGTCCTGATTCTAAATGTAAAAACGGCATTTTTTCATGACCAATATGGTAAAAGCTGAAAGCTGAAATATTTTTTTTAAATTTTTTTAACTTAACTATAAAAGACAGCGTGAGAGCGAGTGAGCATTATCAGTTATTTTGCGGAATCTTTGAACATGCATTTTGCTTTTGAATATACACAAGTAGGGTTGTTATATATGTTCAAATCAGAATCTACTAAATTTTGCAGAACAATTAGAAAAATAAATATGACTAACATAATCACCAACCAGACCCCCCACCCCATATTTTAAAAAATAAACAAAAGAAAATAGGAAGTTTAACTTCTTTTTCATTTTGAAAACTCATTTTATAATGGATTAAGGAATCTTTGTGCAAATATCAAGCTCCTTGACGTAATGGTTCGGGCTGTGTCATGATCGATATGTTAAACATTATTGGCAGTGTATTTGATAGGATGAATGGTTCCATTTAGTTCCTATAAACAATCTTTTCCTCTAACAACATCATCTCTATGTGTTTCGTGAAAATGCTTACTATCTGTAGTTTTGTGATCAGCAACTCCATAATTGAACGAGTAATGAGGTGGTACCTAAAAGAATTGAAATATACATAATTACATAATTATTAATGAATACTATCTGTACAAGATTTGCCACTTCAATGGAGTAGGTACCTATATGGTCTTGTTAAACTATCTCGTAATGTAACAACTTATTTACTGAAACTTAACGGATTAAAAGCATTTACCATTTAGATTCCTGATTATCTAAAGAATTGTGGAAAAGAATATTTGCCATTTATGGGGGACCGCAAACTCGTATATGACCTTTAGTTATATGGTAGTAGCAGTACCTTAGGGGTCATTTATTTTGATTGAATGCAAGAGGCATATTCTTGCAAATATTTTGCTGTTTATTATGAGGTAAATGTGTATTGTCAAAAAGTTATTGGTTAACGGAATTATTTGATAGTGTGTAGGTTTTCACGACCGGTGTTTAGCATTTGNTTACCAAAGTAATAGGAATCAGTGTAGAATAATTACTTTGGTAATAACGAATAAAAATTTTGGTTGTTGTTTCTTAATGCCCTTTATTTCTATACAATAATTATATATTTGCATACATTTACAACAATATAAAAAACAATATTTATATAATATAAACAAAAGAATAGAATCAATAAGATCAATAAAAATTTTCTATATTCGTTAATACCTACTCTTTATTTAGTTTAGTAACCGTGGTGACCATGATGCGCTATGACATGTGGATGAACTGCATGACCTTGTCTAAGTACCACAGCGTTGAAACCGTTGTGCTTATCAGCGGTGTATTTTACCGTACGTATGGTACCATCGGGTTCGTGTAAAGAGTATTCTCCTTTGACAACATCTCCATCTCGGACTTCATGTTGTTGTTTGTTATCACCAGTTTTGTGGTCAGACACGCCGTAATCAAAAGCGTAGTGTGCTGGGGCCTATAAGATTTTTTTTTCATATAAATAGATTCATAGATTTCGAAAGTCATTAATAACCTCCCCGCATTCCATCATCATCATCATTACAACGTCGTCAGTCCCAAAACTGGTTGGACATGCACCTCCACTCTTTCCTATCTTAAGCTAATCTTCGCATTTCCCCAAAAGTAAAACGACCCACATCCCTAACTATTTTCAAACAGTAATCTATTCTAGATTTACCTCTACTCCTCTTAACTCCTGTTTCTGCCTCTAATACGTCTCTAATTAGACCTTCGTGCTTGAGAAGGTGCCCTACCAACCTATCTCGCCTATTTCTTATTGACTTCCATAGAGTCCTGTTCTTTCTAATACCTCTTCATTTCTAACCTTCTCTACCCACGGTATCCTCATCATTCGCCTGGAACACGACATTTCGAACGCTTCTAACATTTTCTTTTCCTCCGCGCCTACCGTCCATGTTTTGCACCCGTACATCGTCGCGCTCCAAGCACATAGTTTCAATAATCTTTTTCGAATTTCTAAATTAACCGTTCGCGAGCATAGAAATGACTTTCCCTGCTTTTTATTACCTTACCTACCAGTATTTTTGTTTTGTTTTTATTTATTTTTATACAATAGTATTTTGCCAATACCACTTCCATTTGTTTTCTTTATACAGAATAAGATCGCGTTAAGAGCGATGCGCGCACTAATTTTCACAGTAGTACATGCGGCGTTGGAGGCGTTGTGTTCATCGATAAGAGACGTCGTAATCTTTCTGTTTTTGTTACGTAATTCATATAATTTTGTGTAAGAATAAGAAGTATATTTTTACTTTAGTCCTATGTCATATGTAACGCTATACGCACTTACACGTATTTCTNTTTATTTTCATACAATACTGCTTTGTCAATACCACTTCCATTTTATTTAAAGCTATCTCTAATTCCTTGCTAGATGCTAATATTGCTATATCATCTGCAAATCTAAGCATATTAATCTTTTTCCCTTGTATCTGATGTTGATCGCGTCTTAAATGTATAGATTAAAAAGTAGTGGTGACAGTGTGTATTCCTGTCTGACTCCCTTCCTAGTCATCATCCCCTTCATATATAATTTACATTGTTTTTAAAGGGAATGTTTTCTTTATACAGAGTTGTGTTCATCGATAAGAGACGTCGTATTCTTTGTGTTTTTGTTACGTAATTCATCTAATTTGGTGTGAGAATAAGAAATATATTTTTACTTTGGACCTATTTTATTTGTAACGCTATACACACTTACGTANGAAGCATATCCTGGTGCTAGTCCTCCATGATAACCACCTAATCCTAATCCCAATCCCAATCCTAATCCATGTCCTAGGCCTCCACTCACGTAGGAAACCCCACCAGGATATGCTACACAGGCAGTAAGTGCCAGACAAGACAATAATAACTGGAAGAATAAATTCAATTGTAAATTAAAATAATTACAATACTACATTGGTTGAGGTTTTGCACAAGAAATATATGCAGTTACACTGAAGAATCTTAAGTACGTAATTGCGAACTTTATAGGTGTGAATTTTGTCAATTAAACACAAAATTAGCTAAAACAAGTCCTATTTGTTTCTAAGTTTAATGGTAATAACAAAATTTACAGCTCGTAAAATGAATTTAATTGGCAACCGAAAATTGCAAATTTCAACTGCCATGAAGTTTCGTTAAATATTTTTGTTGTGCCTTACGAAAAATCCTTTTCATTTTAAGATTTTAATTTTAGTAGTTTCATAAAACAGTGGGAACATGTTTTTGAGGTAGTAATATTTCTTGAGATAATTTTTGAACTTTCATAATAAGTAGTTTTCTTTTATAATATGTTACATGCTTCAATTAAATTAACCAGAGAGTTTGGATGCTCTTTAAAATGTTCAAGATAATAGTGTAAAAGTGATGTTCTTGACTTCTAACTATCTCAAAATTTCTTTAATGGTATTTTGAGTTTTTCCTGATAGAAAAAGTAAAAAATAAGAAGGATCTTAAAGACACTTTTAAGGTAGTGCTCCTCTTGAAGATAAATTAAGGCTGAGAAGGTTCCTCTAATTAAACTTATTGCACCCCTCTTTTATGTCGGGGGTTAGAAACGCTTCCTCCTATCATAACTTTATTATCCTAAGCAATCGAAGAGAAGCATTGTTCGGTAAGGTTAGGTTAGGATCCTTGCTCTTACTGTTCTTTACAGCAATGAGAGCCTTTTTCAAATTTGTAAAATTATGCGAAGAAATGGTTGAAAATGTTGGACTGTACAACACACTAAAATTTTAAGGAAATCGTAGATGTGTCCGCTATAGTAGGTAAACAACTACCAAAACTTAAATAATTTCAAGAACATTTAAAAACATCCCTTGGAAATAAAGAATTGGTGTTTGGTAATTATCAAATTATACATAATCATCCAGACTATGTAAACTTAAATAAAAGCTGGGAACTTTTTCTGTTCAATAACAATTTCATTTTTAGAAGTATATTAATATGTTCTTGTGATATTAACTTTTAAATTGGAAGGCCTGTTGGACAAATAAAAGAATTTTGTATTAATTTATTGTAATCGTAGATTTAATCAGTCAGGAGTGATGATGATTTGAATTATACGTACTTAAAACTACTTAAAGAGCTTTGATAAACCTAGGAGTGAAACGTTGTTCTAATTTGCGAATAAATCTAAGAATACTGACCAATTGAGAAAAGCAATTTCTGATATTAGGGTTAAAATTCTTGCTGTGTACTTTTTAAGGTTTATCATTATTGAGATATGGGAACCCGAAAAATACAAATCAATATTAGATAATATAATTGTTAAATAATAAGTCATCTTACTTGAGAAAACATGTTAATCACAGTTCGGCTGCTGTATCACAAAGAAACTGACAAGTATCGACTCCGTCAACCCTTTTTATATTGTTCACAATAACCAACAGCTGTATATGTATCATAGATAACGTTCACCAATCAATAGGTTACATATGTAGCTAATCGAAATTCATTTAACCGAAAAACTGGAGGTATATGAAAGTATGTAAATATACCATATATATATATCCATATACAATAGATATGATATGCATATTATATCTATTGAAAGTATGTAAATATACCATATATATATATCCATATACAATAGATATGATATGCATATTATATTAATATACCTATCATATCTATTGAAAGTATGTAAATATACCATATATATATATCCATATACAATAGATATGATATGCATATTATATTAATATACCTACAAATGTAAATTGTGCAATGAAAAAATCTGGAACAATTTAGACAGGTACCTATGCCAAGCATTTCTATCTTTTTTTTTTACTAATACGCTACTGTTTACTATTCATAGGTAACTGTCTTAGATCATACGATAACAATGTACAGGTTAAACAAAGTCATTGGAAGGTACCGTTTTTGCATGATTGCAACAGTTTCGTTTTAGTTGTTGCAACAAGTTTGTTTTTATTGAACTTTTAAATTGTAACTTCCTTATCAATGTTGATAATTATACAAAGAAATTTAATCAAAATTGCTAAGATTTGAAGGACTATTGCACTTTGTAGTACTTATGTGTATAGTTGATATTTTTAGAAGACAGGTGGGTTTACTTTCATAACAGAAAGTTCATCAGTAAAAAGTGTCTGAAGGACACGTATAATTTGAATGACTGACAAATTCATTAAATGCATTTAACGAAAAAGAACTATTTCAGCGTTTACTACCGCTTTCTTCAATCGTGGTCATTGTCACATTTCATATACTCCCAAGACAAAAATTTTCAGTCTCTCAGAGTATTTCAGCGTCTCTGAGAGCGTCTCTCACAATCTTTCACAGTCTCAGTTATTGCCTAGGTGTTTTTATGGATCGCTCACAGTCTCTGTATGAGAGACTCGAACAATAAAATTGTTAAATCAGAGATTCGAGTCTTTCACAGAGAGACTGAATGAATAAAACTGAAAAATTGAGAGACTCGAGTCTCTCGTAGAAAGACTGGGATCTCTGAAATATGTTGAACTTAGAAAATTTTAACCATGTCTATCNCATGTCTAACCAGTGTTACAATTGACAATCTTATGAACACGATAATGATGATTGTGAACTAGCCAAATCCGCCACTGATATAAGGTACTTCTAGTTGATCTAGATTGTTTCTTGATAAACTAAAGTTGTAGTTTTCTTTTATTTACAGCATATAACAAACGTTGTTCTAATACGAAAGCTGTGCAATATATTTTTCACCCTTTTAATTGTCAGAGCTGATTTTTTAGGACCCGATCTAACGATTGTTGACCCTCAGCGTTCTGTCCTTCTAGCATTTACAGAATTTTTTTTTATATTTTGTATAGGATAAGAAAGAGTGGAGGTACGTGTCCAACCAGTCTTAGGACTGACGACCTTATGATGATGATTTCTTATTTAGAAAAAATTTAGTTTAAAAATTATTGTCACACGACATTCAGCTTAAGGAGTTCGGGTCGCTTATATACAATACGTTGATCAGTAAAATCACTTCTATTTAGAACACGTATTTTTTTAACAAAGTAAGAAAAAGCACACATCATAAAGTGTTTCAGAAAAATTTTCATTTTTATCTAAATTTTTGATTTTTTTACTATTTTTATCATTCCTCTAATAATTTTCTAATTTAAGCGTAGACCATAAGGTATTACTTCTAACGAAAAGATAACATTGAAAATATAAATATTATTTCGGATTGCAAAACAAACAAAAATCCATCTTTAATTTGAATATAATAAATTTAACCTTTGGTTCTCATGTCTTCCCCAAAATAGCTATACAATTATTTTGGGGAAGAAACAGGTTTTGCCCTTGGGTAGTTTTTTTTCTATGATTATAAATTTAATTACCAACATCCTCCCTTTTCACTTTTAGGTCTTATTTTGTCCATCTAATGTAAAATTAATCGGAATTGGTACGAGAAATTCATGCCTACAATTGAAGTTAATGTTTCATTTTCAGCCATGTAATACATTTTGTAAACCAATTTGAAAACATATTTCCTGTTATTGTTGTTTAGTTTTGTTACAATTTATTTACGTATGCCGAACTACACAAGAAGAAAAATGCTAAATTCAATTCAATACTTTATTTCTATAAAAAACAAAAATAAATAAATATACAATGAACGAATGGCGAGTATAATCATGCATGACATAGCGAACTATGGCGATAGAGAAATAGGCGAACTGTCCATTAGCTTAGTAACCGTGATGTCCATGATGGGCTATGACCTGTGGATGAACTGCATGACCTTGTCTAAGTACTACAGCGTTGAAACCGTTGTGTTTATCAGCGGTGTATTTGACGGTACGGATGGTACCGTCGGGTTCGTGCAAAGAGTATTCTCCTTTGACAACGTCTCCATCTCGGACTTCATGTTGTTGTTTGTTATCACCAGTTTTGTGGTCAGACACGCCGTAATCAAAAGCGTAGTGTGCTGGGGCCTATAAGATTTTTTTTTCATATAAATAGATTCATAGATTTCGAAAGTCATTAATAACCTCCCCGCATTCCATCATCATCATCATTACAACGTCGTCAGTCCCAAAACTGGTTGGACATGCACCTCCACTCTTTCCTATCTTAAGCTAATCTTCGCATTTCCCCAAAAGTAAAACGACCCACATCCCTAACTATTTTCAAACAGTAATCTATTCTAGATTTACCTCTACTCCTCTTAACTCCTGTTTCTGCCTCTAATATGTCTCTAATTAGACCTTCGTGCTTGAGAAGGTGCTCTACCAACCTATCTCGCCTATTTCTTATTGACTTCCATATATAGAGTCCTATTCTTTCTAATACCTCTTCATTTCTAACCTTCTTTACCCACGGTATCCTCATCATTCGCCTGTAACACCACATTTCGAACGCTTCTAACCCTTTCTTTTCCTCCGCGCCTACCGTCCATGTTTCGCACCCGTACACCGTCGCGCTCCAAACACATAGTTTCAATAATCTTTTTCGAACTTCTAAATTAACCGTTCGCGAGCATAGAAGTGACTTATTTTTATTGAAGACGACTCGACCCTGCGCTATCCTCTGCTTTATATCCCTACTACTCTTTCCGTCCTGACTTATATGAATTCCTAGGTACCTGAAATTGGCCACTTCTTCTAATTTTTCGTCTTCTATCTTTATATTCGCTCATTCCCTACTGATTTGTATTAACGATTTAATAATGTTGAACCAACCCTCCTTTTCACTTTACCCGCTTTTTCATTATCGGGGATTCTCTACGCTTTGTGTCCTTCTATGTAATGTACACGTTTATTATTGTTTTCGGGTAATTGCCAATTAAAATATACTTTTCAAAAGTTCGAGAATCGGGAACTAAGTAATGTAGTAATAAAATAAAGTTGGCGATATGGATCGGTACTAAAACAGGTAGTAATGTGAAAGTTAGGGAAACAGGAGTTGGCAAAGCGGGGAATCACCGTTCGACTTTCCTCTTTCGCTGCCTATTTCCTACTACCAGATTTTTATTTGTTGAATCGCCATTCGTTACTGATAAAGACGTCAAAGTTTCAAAAGGATCCGTTATTCCATGAAAGTTTTAAGCAATACTTACTTGCCTGAAATCCTTTTCGAATGCTACACACGGATTTGCGAAACTTTACGTATGTGCTCAAACAAGAGAAAAATATATTATTTGGAGGGCTTTTAAGCTCTTCTGGTTAAGGAACTTTCAAAATTGCTCCTTGAGTTTTAAAAAACCGCAACTCGGATTCTTTTACTATACAATGGTACGTCTACTTTCCGCTCATTCGAAAATTGCAGTTTCTCAATTATTATGAACATCCCAAAAAGTAATACTAGTAATTTATCAAAAATATCAGACATTAGATGTGGATCGCAATTTCAATCCTATTTGATCTCATCGGCACGCCATCGACCACGCAGCTTTTAAACGTAAAGGTCTCGCATAAACCGAATTAATGAGAACAGATTCGTGGTCAGTAATTTATCGAAATTACCAGACGTGAATCACAATTTCAAGCTTATTTGATCTCATCAGCACTCCATAGGTAAAAAATTCTTACATCATTCGATGGGTAAATTTCCTATTACTGTTATAACCACTGTGAGAAACGGAAGATTAGAAACTGTTATATGACTATTGCTCACAATTATTTTAAAAATTAGTTACAATCTAGTCTGAGACATATTAGAGGCAGAAACAGGAATAAAGAGGAGTAGAGGTAGACTTAGATTAGATTACTGTTCGCAAATAGTTAAGGATGTGGGATGTTCTAGTTTTAGGAAAACGCGAAGGTTACCTCAGGATAGGAAGGAGTATAGGTGCGTGTCCAACCAGTTTTAGGACTACGACCTTATGAGGATGATAATCTTTTTGGATACAAAGTGAGTTTGCAAACAATATTTATACGTATTTCTATAAGAGAAGCGAAGAAGATTAATAAAATTTTAAGAAAAATTTTACAAATGAACATTTTCAATTTACATTGTACATTCAAATAGTATTTGACCTTAATAAGGCTTAGGTTTCGTTTTACAATGTTAATATAGTACGTACATTGTCACAGTAACCAACATATTGACTGCAAAATAGAATAAACAACCTGTATTAAAAATGTCTAGCTTATTTTTGTTTTTCTAAAAAGCTTATATTCTCAGGGATTGCCAACTTCCACCCCCAGGTGTTTTTAATTTTTGGATACGTATTGAAATCAAACCCGCACTTTTTTGCGGGAATACATTCGATTTGTGAACCGTGAGAATATTAACAAGAATTCTGTAAAGGAAAAAAGAAAAGTTACTGTATAAGCGTAATGGTATTCGTCATCATCATAAGGCCGTCAATCCTAAGACTGGTTGGACACGCACCTTCACTCCTTCCTATCTAATGCTAATCTTCGCATTTCCCTAAAACTAGAACATCCCACATCTTTAAATATTTGCGAACAGTAAGCTAATCTGGGTCTACTTCTGTTGTTTTGTGCAGTCGTACGATAAAAAATTATCCGGAGACCACTCGGAAGTTGCGTTACTGAACTACCGTTCTACTAGAATGTTTTAAATAAAACTAGTAGCGAATTTGAGTTGATGTGTTTCTTACATACTAACTGACAATATAAAAAATTTACTTAAAAGCTAGAGAACAACTAACAAAGGGGGTGGAGTCTAATTGAAAGATATTCTGGTGGTAGATAAATGTAGGAATTTCCTGAATGTCGTCATAGACGAGAGGGTGTTGACTTCAACTAGATACAGAAAAGTTCTGAAAACAAGTATACAAGAGCTAACAATGGGCCAGGTATTAGTGACAGAAAAACCTCATTTATGCTACCAGGAATTATTG